ATCWAYTWACKWMMGAMRRAARAAAWACTTAAGATATAAAAGAACGCACAATTTGATATCAAAGGAATACAGTTGTTGTCGGCGTAAAGTTATTTATATTGCAAAAAAAATCAATTCATTGTTAATTGATTTCTTACCAGGGATTCGGTTTACAATCATCGATATCTGATTAGAAAGCAATAACATAAATATTAATATATAAGCCCAAGGAGAATGATTTAGATTTGTTAWACGTGAAGTATTTTATATTTTTAGTAATTATATGTACATAGATGTTTATAAACGATCCCATTAAACACTGAATCATTTAAATCATTGAATCACTCGCTAAATCTATCAATCACCAAAACAACAAACCAACTGACCGACCAACTAATCAACCACCCAACCCACCCACCCACCCACCAACCAACCAACCGACCATCAACCAACCAACTACTCAAGCAACCAATCAACCAACCCACCAACCATCAACCAACCAACCAACCAACCAACCCACCAACCATCCACCAACCAACTACTCAACCAACCAACCAACCAACCAACCCACCAACCATCAACCAACCAACTACTCAACCACGCAACTTAGAATCAACCGACCAGCCGACCAACCAACCAACCAACCAATCAACCAAACAATCAACCAACCAATCAACCAGACAACCAACCAACCAGACAACTAATTATTCTGTCAATCATTCAAACAATCAGCAAGTAGATCAATCAAGCCCATTTCTTGCAAAGCATTAGTTTGACAGATCGATAATATAGGTCTATCCTTTTCTTACTTATGTCACAGTTCGATCCATTAAATCCTGCTGGGCACTGACATTGGAAGCTTCCAGGAACATTAACACAAGTTGACTTCTGAGGACAAGCAGCATTTTTACATTCRTCAATGTCTATAGARGAAAATAAATTGATCAAAYAAGCATTATCTCCAGCATGATGGTATTTTTGCAGCGCGTGACCTTAGACTAATCTATAGGTAAGCACTGCTTGTATGAACTGGAACCAATCGTTGCCAAAAAAAAACCTTGGACCATAGAGTATTTTGTCTCCAGCCTAACATTTTCTCCTTTTTTCCCTTTTTTTCACAATTCTCCTCCTTAGCTCCCTTTCATCAATGTTGGGTCTTGTTTTGGATGGTTGTGTACTATGGTAACATGCTCAATGTCAACGCCGCGAGGTACGTACAAATGATATTTCTTTAATCTAAAATGTCCTATAATCACATTATGAACGTGCACGCCCCTATTAATGGAGAAAATATCATTTTGAAAATATTTCTTTATATAACAGCCTGCTTTCAGCCTGTTTTTTTTTTTTTACAGTTTATGTCGTTATACTCAACGAACACCGGGTTTTCTCATTTACTGTAAAATACAGTAATATGTTTACCTTTGTCGCAATATTTTCCTTCGTAACCAGTGTAACAGCTGCAATTGAAGYTCGTCCCTGTATCTGTACAATTACCAGTCTTACACGGCCATGGCTCGCACCAGGACGAGGCTAARAGTACAATAATTCATGTCATTTTGAAATAAGTTTGGACTAATAGAATTGATACTAATGACATTCTACACACTTAATAACTATTATAGATGTGATCTCAAGAAAACGTCTGACCTAAATAATGCAGAAAATGGCAAGAAAATGGACATAATGGTTGCTTACTTGAATTGCAGTAAATTCCTTTCTTCCCATTGGTGCAGTTGCACTCGTAACCATTGAGTCTATCGATACACTGCGATCCAGGGGCACAAAGAGCAGTACCGATCTCGCACTCGTCGATCTCTGAC